CAAAGTCTGGACTAACTCATCAAATAACCAAATTAACCCTGATTATATATATATATATATATTTGAAAAAGTTTGATTTTGTAGCGTTTGTCTCTACTTTCTCTGATTTTGTAGAGTTTGTCTCTACTTTTTCTATCTTTCTAGAACCAGTGCTAATTTTCAAAGAAGAAATATCATTACAACTGCAATCTTGTGCTATTGTTATCTTAGGAAATCATAACTAATAGATTTCATTTTCTTACCTCATTTAAATATTTAAAAAATAAAAATATTTGAAATATTTTTTTTTTAAAAATCCATAAAATATTTTTTTAATTTGTAAATATTTTAAAAAATTAAGAAAATTTTTAAGTATTTTTTAAAAAAAAAAAAAAAAAAAAAAAAATCACTTAGTTCGAATTACCTTAGATCATATGAGATGTTATTCAAGGAGACCAACGCCGAAGAGGAGAACGACACTGAAGAGCTGAGACGCCGGAGAGTGATTCGCGCCACTGTCTTCTTTATGCCGGAGGCTGATTCACGCCGAAAGTGAGAGATTGAGGATCAATCGACTAAGAGAACACAAGGTCTTGAAATTGGCTTCTGGTTTGAAGAAGACTACCTTTAGTTAATTGTCTTTATTTATTAGTACATGTAAACATTCAAGCCTAGGGCTTTTCTTGTAATGGTTGCTTGTGTATATATGTTTTCTAGTTGAATGATTTTTTATATTTTCTATTAAAAAAAGTAGGTTAAATTTTGTTCAAATGAATCGAAATGGATGTGGAGTAACAATAGGGAAATTTGCTTTTTAAAAATTAGAACACATGCTAGTGCAAAGTTTTACAATAATTATAATAGGGGTATTATGGTCAATGTGTTGGATGTCTCATGTCCTGTTATGTCCTATCCATTCCAATCCCCTTAAACAAACATCGGATTGGATAATATTTTGTTAATCCCGCCTTATAATTCAAACTTAATCCAAACATAAGATATGATACACAATCCAAATGGACGTGGTCAGAACCTTGATACGGCTAAAAATGAGTGAAATTATTAAGATCATTGGTGAAATAACTAGTGACCGCAGAATCTAAGAACCAATTTGAACCGGGTGCAGCAGTAGTAGGCTGATGTTCTTGAGAAGCAGAAGCAGTTGAAGAAAAAGCAACATAGGCTTTAGAATGTGGTCTTCTTGCTTGTAAAGAAAAGGATTGAAAAGCCTGATCCATTTTGTGCCAGCAATCCATGGCTGAGTGGTTTGGTTTACCACAAATTTGACAGATCAGTCCTTGTTGATTAGGAGTGTTATGTTGACTAGAGATAGGATTTGAGAATGATGATGAATTAGACCTGCCTTGTCCTCCACCTCTGTAAGTGTTTTTATAAAATCAGCCTGAATTGTTACCTCTATATCCCCATCTGGTGTAACCTCGAGAACTACCTCTAGAATTATTTATGGTAGCAGCATAAGCAAATGAAAGGTCTGATGTGTGAGCCTGTTTAAGAGAGCCTTCAATATGAATGGATTCAGAACACAACAATGAAGATAAGGCAGCAATAGAGATAGGTTCAAGTCTGGTATGAATTGTTGTTTTAAAGGCATTGTACTCATCAGGTAGTCTATTGAGAGTGAGTAAAACCAAATCTTCATCACGAATTGGTGATCCTGCAAGACTTAACTGATTAAAAATAGTCTTGATTTGACAAAGATAATCCTCCATTGTTGAATTCTTCTTGGTAAGATGACTGAATTTGGTTTTCAATTGATGGACATGTGATCTGGACACGGAACTGAATCTTGTAGCCAATATAGTCCATACTTCATGACTTGTGATACAATGAAGATTATATGTGAATATGGATAAAGACAATGTAGCAGTAAGACAGCTAAGTAGATGTGCATCAACAGTGATCCATTGTGTGTATGCTTGATTCACCATAGCATTATGATTCTCATCAAGAACCGTAAAAGGAGGACAAATCTTTAATCCATCGACATATCCAAGTAGATTTGTGGCTTGTAATATGTTTTGGAATTGATTCTTCTATATGAGATAATCTGTAGACTTAAGTTTTGTTGGAACAAAAGAATTCAAATTTGAGATAAGCAAAGTGAGATTTGAAGGTAAAAGAGAACTAGTAGCTGTACCAATTGAAGAAGTTGCCATTGTTGATCTTCCTTGAAGATCTGCAATTGTTGATCCTTGGTAAAGATTCACCATTGTTATCCTAAAGATGAAGCTTTGATGCTCGCAAAAGCTGTACAAGCTCTGATACCATAATGAGAAAATGAATCTTATTCAACTTACCAAAAATATCTTTTAGTATAGAGGGATTTATATACAACTATTAATAACTCTCTTAACTAGTTAACTAAAACTAACTATGGTATAGTTAACATAACAACTTTCCTACTTGCTTAATCACTACAGTTGGAATACAACTGTCTTAGATGTAAACACGTGCATGATGACCTACATCAGCTCTAATTGATTTGGTGAGATATAGCTGTGGCTTCAACTATGACTCTACCTTGGTCAGCTCACATGAGCTGGTATGTGTGGGCTGAGCTTCTTCTGCAGGTTCTGTATGTGTATATTGAGCTTCTGTAGCTTCTGCAAACACATTATCACGTAATCATATATCTATTTGCCATGGGAATGTTAATCAAATCTAATCCAGTCCACCCAAACAAACACAGCCTTAGTGTTGATGCCTTCAACAACATCTATCTATGCCCTCGCCATTGCTATTCAGAAGATTCAAAACAACCGTCATCATTTGCAACAATCATATAAATGTGAACTATGTTGTCATTGTTTGTAATCACCATCAAGATCTGAACCATTATTTGTTGTTTGCAATCACTATTCACACCTCTATTAACTCACTGCCATCAACTCCCCTCATCGGTTTTTTTTTTTTCCCTTTGTCCCCTCTTCCCTCTCTCTCTCTCTCTCTATATATATATTAATGAAAATATAAATCTCTTCTATTTGATTCGATGATTCACATATACACAGCTCAAGATATTATATAGTGCGAGTACTCTAAGTAACTCAGTTAACAAATAGTTCTAACTACCTAACAAACATTACAACTGTATCTATATCTGTTATAGATATTATCTGGAGAACATTTAGTGAAACATGGTTGTGATAGATGGGATATCAATGCTGACTTCTGCTCTAGCTGTGACTGCAGCTTTGGCTCTTCCTCTAACTATGATTGTGGTAACTGAGTATGTATCTTAGCATATATGGATTCTCTTTCGTCGATCTCTCTATTTCTTTGTTCGATGTTATTCTTTTATTTGACTTTTGTGTTATTGTTCGGTAGACATTGTCTATTGTAATAATGTAAAAATATTTAGATTTTGTTTAAGATTTCGTTTGGTAACATCACTTTTTAGCCTAAAAGTCAAAAAGTCACTAAAAAAAATCAAAAAGCCAACAAACTATACTAAAAAGTCAAATATTTCTTTTTTTTTCTCCACTTTTTGCACATTTTTCGTAAAAATCAAAAAGTCATCCCAAATATATACTTATTTTTTTTACATCATATTTTAGTCAAAAAGTCAAAAAGTTACTAAAAACATTCCCAAACGAGGCCTAAGTTCGTATAAAATTAGTCATTGAAATTTCACTGACTTTCTGTAATTTTAATAGATTTGGTCAATGAAATTTCTCTAACTTTGATTAGTGAACTTTCACGTACTTTAGTCTAAATTTTAATTTTCAATGATAAGTTAGTGAATTTAATTGATTAAACCTAGAGAAAATTGATTAAATTAGAGTAAAAGTCAGTAAAATTTATGTAATCAATCCAAACGAATAGAGTAAAAGTTCAATTGAATTTCAATTTTATAATTTTTTTCCCCTTAATTCAGGAATTTTCTATTTTGAAAACATTGAAAATTCATTGATTTAGAGTAAAATTGTGATAAGATATTAAATTTTAAATTGATTTTGCAATTTTTAGCCATCAATTATTATTATTATTATTATTATTATTATTATTATTATTATTATTATTATTACCTTTGAGCTCATGTGGATGTTGTAGTTATAGAGCATTTATTTTCTCTAACTTAGTCCAATTTCAAGGACGAAATTTCCGAAGGCAAGGAGGTTATAGCCACCAGAATTAAGACCTGGCCCCTTTTTTTTCTTTTTCTTTTTTTTTTTGTAATAGTTTTGTTTATGGAATGGTATCTATTTTGGATTTTTATTATATCTCCCATAGGGATTTTTATCTTCAGAAACCCTATATTAAACTATTCTTGTTGACAGAATATTGTTAAGTTTACTAGATCGCTCCTGTGAACAAGTAGTTCACACCTGCGATGTATTAGGTGACGAGGAAAAACACCTTCCAGGAAAAACACCTGAACCCACCCCTAGAAGTTTGGAGCATAATCGGCCAGTAATCATGAGATTACCTATGACCTCAGACAGAAATCAAATCATATTTAATTATATGGGGTCAGAAGTGGAAGTAGAATGTATAATTTGTCTAATAAGCTTGTGCATCAATGGCATGAACAAAAACATTTTCTATATTAATAACTCACACCCATACATACATAAAAGATCTCACATGTCCAAGATCAAACATAGGTCATTATCATATAAAACCAAAACTTAAGTACAGATATGGTCAAACATGACCAACAAAAGAAAACAAAAAGATCAAAAGACAAAAGACTTGTTTGTAAGGCGTTCCTTGGTAGACTCCACAAAACTCGGTAAACTCCATAGGTTCATTGGGGCTGGACATCCAGCTGTTGACCGACATATGCATATATAACAAAATAAGTGAAAGCCCAGTGAATAACATCTATATAACAATGGAAGGCTGATTTTGAATTCAAAGTTGAAAATGTCTATGTGTCAAAATGTGAATCATCAGATTGCTTCAATCCAAGGGCTAAAAATGTCTCATTCTCATTTGTCCTACAAGGACATTTCGATGGTCGAGAGCACTTACCATCAACATCTAATGGTGCAAAATGTAAATCCCAAAATATCTCAAAATTCATCTCTCTCACACCTACTCCTCTCATCTCAAAATCTGTCTCTCCATTCCAAATTTCAAAATTTGAACACAGACCCTCTCTCTCTCCCTCTCTCTCTCCAATTCTTTGTTTCCATTTCTCACTCCGACCACTCCAACCATTGTTCTCCTGCAGCTCGGTTGCCATTGTTCACTCCGGCAGATTGGTTTACTCTGACCATCTAGCATCGCAAGGTTTAATCATTTCATCGAATTGTTTCATTGTGTTGGATTTGTGTGATTTTTTATTTTTGTTGATTAGGTATGTGTTTGGGTTTGTGTTTCTAAGATTTCAGTTTGTGTTTGTGTTTCTAATATTTATTTTTCTAAACCTTAAACTGATGTGTTTGGGTTTGGGTTTGTGTTAGGTTTGTGTGATTAGGTATGTGTTTGTGTTTCTAAGATTTTTTTTTTCAAAACTTTAATCCATGTATTCAATGGAACCACACTTTGTAATGAAAACCCAGAAAAAGTTGAAACAAAGCATTGAAAATTATTCAAATTTGTCAAAACTTCAAATTACAACTGCAAATTTCATGGTGAGGAAATAATATTCTCCGTGTGAGATGGTTCAAAGGACATTAACTAAACTATCACTGTTAAGGCTATTATGATTATTTTCTATTGATAAATGTTAAGGCTATTATGATTATTCAAGTTATAGTCGGATATGATGATCATAGAATTGATGTTATGAAATTTAAAGTTGACTTTCTTGTTTCATTCTTTTGGAATTAGGTAGAGGCTTTGAAATGTGCATTATCACTTGCAGCCTGGGTAAGAATCTGGAGAAATGAAGGCATTATGGATGATAACAGGTCATTTCTTTCATCTCTCTCTCTCTATACATTATTGCTTTTTTCCTGTCCCTCAGTTTTGGAATATGTGAATCTGCTTTGGCTAAAACTGTGTTCTTATACATGTCCTGATGCTGTTAGGTTGAGTACAACATTGGATGAAGTTAGTGTATACCCCATACCTGCAGCACTTTACCTCATAAAAAATTTGCTTCAGGTAAATTGCATTTCTTTTCTTTTTTTTCATAGGTGGCAGTGGCTTTGGCCTTCCTGATTTCTTAAACATGACTTTATCTGGCAGTATTACATCTTTTCTTTTTTGTGTTTTTGTATTTTGGTGCATTGTTGCCAATAAAATCTCACAGAACCATGCAAAGGGACTCAAGATTCTGGGTTCAAAACAGCACTTCAAGTTTTGCTTAATGCTTCTTGAGGACTTTTCTATAAATTAGTTTAAGCAATATGAGAACTTTCTTTAAGGTAATCCAATGTCAACACTCATTAACTTAGTTTAGAGTGCACATTATACATAGAGGCAAATTTAGATAAACAAGACAATAAAATTGACATATTTTTATAAGGATATTCAGCTGTTAAACCACCGAAGTAATAAGAACTCAATTGGCAGAAAATTTATAAATTACTTGAGTAGTATTATTATATGAATTAGTTTAACAAGTGTACAATAGCTTTGATTTTTTCTTAATTGCAGAATAGTATTTCTTCCATAATGTTCACCAATATTACAAGTCAAAATAGTGAAATGTAGAGTAAAAACACATATAAAAGAAATATTATATAAAAAAACATATAATGCAAAATTTAGTATCCAAATGGGAATCAACAGTGGTGACGACAAAGTGGAACTGTGCTTTCCTTTCACTTTTTCCAATAGGTTTCAATATTGTGTTTGTTACTCTAAATCAGTATTTGCAGATATATACAAATGTGTACATATATATATATATATATATATGTAATTATACAATCGATTTTATTGATGAAGGCACAATCTTGAATTTATTTTTGTTGACTTTGGTCTTAAAGTAACTCCCATAGTCCATATTGAAACACCTTCAGCCTTTTTCACATAGTCCATGTTTAGGAATCTATTATGTTTTCCCTGTGTATAATACAAATATTAAAAATAGCCAAATAATTTTGAGAAATAAATAAATTGAACCAACATTATCAACTATGACAGTTGATAGTGATCACCTACGAATCCTCCTTTTCCTTCTTTTTCCTTCTTTAACTCCAACGACACAAACCACATTAAAGAAAATAATCTCAAAAGAAAGAAAATAAAATTGTATGGGCAAATTACACATACCTCACTTGCACATTATACATAGAGGCAAATTTAGATAAACAAGACAATAAGATTGACATATTTTTATAAGGATATTCAGGTGTTAAACCACCGAAGTAATAATAACTCAATTGGTAGAAAATTTATAAATTACTTGAGGAGTGTTATTATATGAATTTTTGATATCTATTATGTTTTTCCTGTATATAATACAAATATTACAAATAGCCAAATAATTTTGAGAAATAAATAAATTGAACCAACCTTATCAACTATGACAATTGATAGTGATCACCTACGAATCCTCCTTTTCCTTCTTTAACTCCAATGACACAAACCAAGTCAAAGAAAATAATCTCAAAAGAAAGAAAATAAAATTTTATGGGCAAATTACACATACCTCACTTGACAATTATCCTTTTACCATTTTTCCTTTGTTGTTTTATGATTGATTTTCAGATAAACTATATTTGATGAAACGGTTGAGAGTGACACTATAATATGTTCTTTTATTTTATTTTGAGGAAAGATCGGTTATTGTTTGTATATTTAACAATGCATATAAGGTGTTTGAAAAAATGCATGTGAGAGATAGAAATTGGTAGCAGTGGCTGTTGGGTTTTAACTAGTTCTGGAAGGTGCATATCAATTAATTTTTTCCTTATTGTTTAAAAGTACTAAAATAAACTTTGAAGGATAAAATTTTTATTTTCATTTATACTTTGACGACATTATTAATTTTTTTACATTTATCTAATATTGATTAACATAAGATTGTAAGTGTACTATAATTAAGCTTTTAGCAAAATTTGTTATAATTTTTTATATCAATCGCCCTTTTTTTTTTTGGAATTATAAGCAGAGGTCCATTAAACAACTTTTGTACAAGCCAATTTTTATAAGCTTTTAACATAAGACAATTTTTGTTCTATTTTGATTGTGAACGTTTAGTGGTAAATTTTCACTAATAGGTAGGATTCGCTGATTAAGTGTTTAAAAAGAATAATGTACTCGAAATCTCTTCAAGCCTATTCTTCTTTTTGATTATTCCCACCCATGCATGTGCAATGATCAAAACCTTAGTTTAAGATTTAGTTCACTCTAATTTCTATAGCATAGCATCTACAAAAGATGTAGTGTGCAATAGTGAGCAAGAATACTGACCATGAAGAAGTTTCAGATTGTGTCACAACCCAAACCCGGCCCTATGGGTTTAGCACCGTAACCGGCCAGTAATCCGAGATTACCGAAGGCCTGCAGAATAGTAACACAGTAAAACAGACTACAGGGCCTGGCGGAAGCTAATACAGTAAATAAATAATGTCCATCGAGCTGTGACAGTCTGTATGCCAAAAAGATTTTTCATGCATTCACATATACAAACAGTACAGTCTATACAAAATTTACAGTTACACAGTACAGGGACCTAATCCCTTGGTAACAGTACAGTTAGCAGCTGACAGTCTATACAGTAATCCAAACAGTATGGGGACAGGCGGGGGAAAAACAAAACACCCCAAAGCCATAGCATGGCAACTCGGAACCTCACAGTGAGGCACAAAGGCTGGCTTGACAAAACTGGAGTAACCCTGACGCCTCTAGCCGCGGTCTGGTGCCTGAACACCTACATATATATATGAGCAGTGAGCTAAAGCCCAGTGAATAACATAATGCGTAAAGAGGTTAAGAATGAAATGTCCTTACAGTAATGAAAGCAGTTCATTAAACAATACTTCAGTCTTTCAGTCAAAACAGTTATTCAGTCATATGTGGTACATCCATTAGCATAGCAGTAAACAGTAGGTCTTAAAGACCGAACAGTAATGATGGCCATCAATCAGTAAACAGTAGTGGTTCCACGAGGGAACCGACAGAGATCTCTGTAACAGTAACAGTAACAGTAAGAACCGACAGAGAATTCTGTCGCAGTAACAGTAAACAGTAGGTGCTAAGGATGCCACAATACAGTTCAGAATATAGGACATACATTCATTCAGTTAACAGTAATCAGTTCAGAAAACAGTACAGTTCAGTTGTTCAGAAGATAATCATTTGTGAACATATCTTTACATAATCGTTACTCACAGAGTTCTGGGCTACAGTATGCTAGAGCGTGCCTCCCCAGTCGCCAACCCTACACAGTTCACAGGTTGAACACACACTAAGCTACACAGTTGGGAAATAACATAACTTAATCCCTAATTTGCCTCGGTGTGTTCTACATCTATATCCTCAACAAGATGTCTTAAACTAGGTCTAAGAATGCTTAGAATGAGATGAGGATGCAAAGATGCACTTTCAAAAGCAGTTTCAGATTTTTCAGAAAATAGAGTCCCGCTCGAGCGCAGGTTTCCCCGCTCGAGCGTCAACTTTCCCGCTCGAGCATACTGTAAAAGTACTGGATGGATGAAATCTCCGCTCGACGCCCGCTCGAGCTTGAGACACGTGATTCCGCTCGAGCGCCCGATCCTCCGCTCGAGTGGACTGTAAAACAGTTGCAAGATGCTGGATGCTCGGATTCCACGCTCGAGCGCCAATTTCCCCGCTCGAGTGGAAGTGCAAAATTTGGGAATTCCCGATTGCACCTCCAAGCCAAAAACCAAGTTCAAAAGCATCAAAACCGATCCTCTTGGGCTAATTTCTGGAAAAACACTTGTAACCACATGGAATAACATGATTCAAAACTCAATTTGAGAAATCAAAGCCCAAGGGTGTTTAATTCAAACCCAATTTCAAACCAATTTCATGAACATGAAGAACATGCAAACATGCATGAATTCAAATCAATTCAAAGCTTCAAAACATGCTCTAGTGAGCCAATTGATTCACAAACAAGATGAAAACATGGCCTACACTCAAGACATGAACATGCATGTGACAATTTGCCATGAACTCAACTCAAAATCCAACAATACTAACATGCATGCAACAATTAAGCTCCAATTCAACATGTTAGAACTAAATTATGACTTAGCTCCTCAATTAGACATGAACCATGCATGAATCAACTTAAAGACAATCAAAAAGATGAAATTCATACCTAGGTTCCTTGAATGCAAGTCTAGAGGTTCAATTTAGCAATCTACACTTCAATTAGCAAGCAATTCTCCAAGTTCCAAGCAATTCAAGATGAAATCCAAATTCTCTCACTATCTCCCTCTCATGGTCGGCTAGAGCTCAAACAAGGCTGAGGAAGTGTTTGATCTAGGTGTATAATGAGGCTCAAGTATATGTATTGAGTGGGCCACTCATGTGGCAAAATGGTAAATAAATCAAACTATGCAATTGATCAATATTTAATCTAATTTAATCATACCTAACAGTTTTCAGGTAATTATACCATAAAATCACATTAATTATGAGGATCATAAAACACCAATCAATTCCCGATTCGGCCACCGATAAGGCCTTCAATTAGCAGTTTAAACATAAAACACAAACAGATCAAATAATCAATCAAACAGATAGGATACAAATTAACACACATACTCAGTCAATTCAGTTCCAGTTTTCAGTCAGTCAGTTCAGTACTTTAACCAGTCCAATTATCAGTCATAATCAGTTCAGTTTAACGGTAATCAATGTTTATCGGTACTCAATCAGTCATTAATCGGTAAACAGTATGAGGGTTGTTACAGATTGCCACGTAAAATGAAACGAGATTTCTGTTTTTAGAGTCCGTATTCAATAATATGATTCTTTTGTGGTTTCTCATCCTTTGCTTTAATGAGTTCAAGTGTAATGGGGGCACAAGGTAAGCAATCTTGTAGAATGTTAATAGTATAACGTTTAGCAAAAGAATCTTTACTCTAATGTGTTTCAATAACCTATCTTTTTTGGGTCCAGCAAGTATATTTCCATCATGGATGGAGGTTTATTCTTTTCTTTCAATAATTTTTACTGTAATATGTTTCAATAATCTTTACTCTAATATGTTTCAATAATCTTTACTCTACTTTTTGGATATCTTTTGTTTTAATAATTTTTAATTTCCAGCAGGTTTGTTAATTTCCAGCAGGTTGACAATAGGTTTGTCCAATCTAATTGCTTTATTGATGTCTACAGTTTGTGATTGAAACATACTCTAATTTTTTGATATCTTTTGTTTCAATAATCTTTAATTTCTAGCAGGTTTGTTAATTTCTAGCAGGTTTGTCCAATTTAATTGCTTTACTGATGTTTATAGTTTGTGATTAGGTGTAATATTTGATCAGGTGTGTCCAATACGTTGTGTCCGAAGCATTGTGTTTGCTTAATAGGCTCATATTAGGCAGCTTGAGAACTTCCTTAAGACCTTCCATATCGAAACATTGTGGTAAATATTTTATTTGTATTCTTACTTAAGCAATGATTGATCATTGTTATTTTGTGATTATTTCTTTGGTTGGTTGTGTTGGAAATTTATAAGTATGGTTTTTTTAAAAAAAATTCTTACAATTATCATTATTTGGGTTTATTAAAATCAAATTGGGGTGGGTGAGGTAGGGGGGAGCAAGAAAGAATGAATGATTTAAGCAACTATAGATATATATATTTTTAACATTTTGTCTTAGTTAAATCTAAACCACATTTCATTTTTCTATTTCAACGAATAGGCTATTAACAGAATTATAGAATTCATGAGTTAATTGGTTTGCATATGTAGTATCATACTGTTCAAGCTTTAATTAATCTCATTAGCAAAAGCCTTTGTATTTTCTTAGAATTCTCTGATTCAAATTATTATTTACTAAATTTGATATTTTAAATTGAAGTGAGTCATAATTGATAGATTTTATTGCGAGAGACAATAAATTTAAATTTGACGAAAATGGGTTAGAGAGAGATGAAATGTGATGAACCATTATGAGATACAGAGAAGTTAGTTTCTAATTGTTGAACCACTTGACGAGGCCTTTTTTTTAGAGAAAGAAATAGAGCTTTAATTTCTATGTTATTTAATTTGTATATAAATATTCACTCAATATGTTATCTTGCCATGTATAGGACACAACAATATTCACCAAACGCAAAGTTTATTTATATTCACGTCGTTTGGTTTATCTTTCTTTGTTATTCTTTTCTTAATGCTGGATTGATACATGTTTAGGAATGTTTGGATTAGGTGTAAATCTGAGTTATCGCCATGGAGTACGAGATTTGTCATGTCATCAAAAATACAATTTTTTTTTTACAATTTGTCATGCTCATTCGTTGAGGCATAGGATAATAGAATTAACTGTTCATAGATTGGGGAGGTCTTTTTTTTTTTTTCTTTATCGCTGTGATCTTAGATAGATAATAGGATTTTCTTTGTTATGTTAATATATATATATATATATATATATATATTATATATATATCTTGTATTAGTTAAATCTAACACATTTCTTTTCTATTTCACAAATAGGCTTTACAAATAATTTATGAGTTTAATTGGTTTGAATTTGTAGTAATATACTGTTCCAAGCTTTAATTAATCTAATTAGAAAAGTCTTTGTAATTTTCTTGAATTCTCTATTGGTTGTTAGAGTTTATTGTTCTCGGCTTACGCTTCATGCGACTACTCTTTATTGTATTCAAATTCAAATTATTATATACTAAGTTTGATATTTTAAATTGAAGTGGGGTCAAAAATTGTAGGTTTTATTGCAGCAGACTATAATATATAGATAGATAGGATATAACGAAATGAGAATTGATGGAAACATTATGAGGTAGAGAGGTTAGTATTTTAATTGTTGAAACCATTTGATTTTGAGACATTTTTTTAAGAGAAGAAATAGAGCTTTAATTTCTATGTTATTATTTGTATATAAATTTCACTTTAGTATGTTATCTTGTTATGTTGGAACACAAACAATTCCACTCATTAGGTAGGAATATTACAAACTGAGTGAATATTAAATTAAATTGAGTGAATTTGTTTTGTGTCTATACATAACAAATAACATACTAAGTGATATTTTATATACAATTAAAATAATAGAAATTAAAGCTCTATTTCTTTCTCTAAAAATGTCTCATCAATGGTTCAACAATTAGAAACTAACTCTCTGTACTCATAATGGTTCATCAATTCTCCATTTCTGTTAACATTTCATAAATTTATAGTCTCTGGCAATAAAACCTATCATGTTTGCCCACTTCAATTTAAAAATTAAATTTAGTATATAATAATTTGACAATTTGAAATACATAAAGTATTCCAGTTAAACTAACCAGAACATGAAAAACTCTTAACAACCAATTAGAGAATTCCAAGAAAATACAAAAGAAATTTAGGTAATGAGAGATTAATTATAAAGATTGAACTGTTGAATACTAAATCAACCAATTAACTCATAAATTTTTTGTTTAAGAGCCTATTTGTTGGAAATAGCAAAATGAATGTGGTTTAGATTAACTAAGACAAAATATAAAAATAAAAATAAAAAGTAACATACAAGAAATCCATGAGCATAATCACTGCAGGAAAGAAAAAAAGATATATATAGAGAGAAATCTGTAGTCCATGCTCAACTGATGAGCATGACAATTTGGTAAAAAAAAAATTGTATTTTTTAGATGGACATGACATCTCGTACTCCATGGCGTAACTCAGATTACACTAATCTCAACATTCTACATGTAGATGCATGCTATTAAGAGAAGCATCAACTATAGAAGGAATAGATGCAACTGAGTGATAGTAAGACTGTTGGTGGTATATCTCGCTTTGTGTCTCTATCAGTGGCAGATACATAATTGAGTGAATATTTATATACAAATTACACTCAAGGTTAAGAAGCTTATTTCTTTCTCTTAAAAAAAGGCTCGTCAGGTGGTTAACAACTCTCGCACTACTTCTTTGTATTCATAATTGGTGTCATCGAATTTCATCTCTCTTAAACCGAATTTCGTACAATTTATATTGTGCTCTCGCAGATAAAATCTAGTCAATTAATGAACTCACTTCAATGTTAATAAATATTATTTAGTAGAAATATAAATTTGATTCATGTGAATGTCTAAGAAAATACAAAGGCTTTTGCTAATGAGATTAATTAAAGTTGAACAGTATGATACTACAATACTGCAAACCAATTAACTCATGAATTCTATAATTCTGTTAATAGGCCTATTCGTTGAAATCGAAAATGAAATTGGTTTAGTTTAACTAAGCAAAATGTTAAAAAAAAAACCAAACATATCTATGTTGGATTTCTTAAATCTTCATTCTTTCTTGCTCCCCCTACCACCAATTTGATTTTATAAACCCAAAAATAATGATAATTGTAAGAATTTTTTTAAAAAAAATCATACTTATACAATTTCCAGAACACAACCAACCAGAATAATCACAAATAACAATGATCAATCATTGCTTAAGTTAGAATACATAAATATTTACCACAATGTTTGATATGGAAGGTTTAAGGAAGTTCTCAAGCTGCTAATTGACCTATTAGAAACACAATGCTTCGGACCTCCAACGTATTGGCAACTGATCAAATTTACACCTAATCAAATATATATAGATATATTGGACAAACCTGCTAAGAAATTACAAACCTGTAGATTAAAGATTATTGAAAAAAAGATATCAAAAAATTAGAGTAATGTTTCAATCCAACTGTAGACCTCAATAGGCATTAGATTGGACAACTATTGTCAACCTGATGGAAATTAACAAACGTGCTGGAAATTAAAATTATTAAAACAAAGATATCCCAAAAGTAGAGTAAGTTATTGAAATATTAGAGTAAGATTATTGAAACATTAAGTAAAAAATTATTGAAGAAAGAATACATATATAGATGGAATATACTTGCTGGACCACAGATAGGTTTTATTGAAACACTTAGAGTAAAGAATTCTTTGTCTAAACGTTATCTATTACATTCTACAAGATTGCTTACTTGTGCCTTACACTTTGAACTCATTAAGCAGGAGAGAAACACAAAAGATCATATTATGAATACGGACTTAAAAAGAAATCTCTTCATTTTAGACTGGCAATATAGATATATATGATATCTACCGATTATGATGATTGAGTACCGATAAAATTGATATACGTTAAAACTGACTGTTATGATGATAATTGGACCTGGTTAAAGTAACTGAACTGACTGATGAAAACTGGAACTGAATTGGACTGAGTATGTGTGTTTAATTTGTATCTATCTGTTTGATTGATTATTTGATCTGTTTTTGTGTTTTATGTTTAAAACTGCTAATTGAAGGCTTATCGGTGGGCGATCGGGAATTGATTGGTGTTTTAATGACCTCATATTAATGTGATTTTATGGTAATATTTTGAAAACTGTGTATGATTATTAGATTAAATATTGATCATTGCATAGTTTGATTATTTACGCATTTTGCACATGAGTGGCCCACTGAATACATATAATTGAGCCTCAATTAATACACCTAGAACAACATTCATCAGGCCTTGTTGTGAGTCTAGCCGACATGAGAGGGGATAGTGAGAGAATTTGGATTTATCTTGGAATTGCTTTGGAATTGAGAAATTGCTTGATACATTGAAGTGTAGAATTGCTAAAATTGGAACTTAGCTTGCATTCAAGGAACTAGGTATGAATTTTCATTTTTTTGATTGTCTTTTAGTTGATTCATGCATGGTTTCATGTCCTATTGAGGAGGCTAAGTCATAATTTAGTTTCTAATGTTGAATTGGAGCTTATTTGTTGCATGCATGTTAGTATTGTTGGTTTTGAGTGGTTCATGCAAATTGTCACAGCATGTTCATGTCTTGGAGTGTAGGCATGTTTTCATCTTGTTTTGTGATCAATTGGTTCACTAGAGCATGTTTTGAAGCTTTGAATTGATTTAGATATATAGATGTTTTGCATGTCTATATAATAAGTTATAGAAATGGTTTGAAATTGTTTTGAAATTAACACCCTTGGGCTTTGATTTCTCAATTGAGTTTTGAATCATGTTATTCCATGTGGTTAAGTGTTTTTCCCGAATTAAGGCCAAGAGGATCGGTTTTTGATGCTTTTTGACTTGGTTTTTTGGGCTTGGAAGGTGCAATCCGGAATTCCAAATTTTGCACTTCCCACTCGAGCGGGGAAATTGGCGGCTCCGGAGCGTGAATCCGGAGCATCCAGCATCTTGCAACTGTTTTACAGTCACTCGAGGCGGAGGATCGGGCGCTCGAGCGGAATCCGTGTCCTAAGGCTCCGAGAGCGGGCGTCGAGCGGAGATTTTCATCCATCCAGTATTTTACAGTATGCTCGGCGGGAAGTTGAACGCTGGCGGGGAACTGCGTCGAGCGGATCTATTTTTGAAATCTGAAACTGCTTTTGAAAGTGGGACTCTTTGAATCTCATCTCATTCTAGCATTCTTAGACCCTAGTTTTAGAATTTGTTGAGGTATAGATGTAGAACCACCGAGGCAAATTAGGGAATTAAAGTTATGTTATTTCCAAGCTGTGATAAGATATAGT